CTCATCCTGGTGAATGATCGTGTGAGAAGGAGAGTTAAAGTGAAAACGTAAAAAATGGTCTGGATTCTTGATCACCTTTAATCTCAAAGCACCTGACAAGTGCTTTTACACACCCTCAGACGTGGTAATTAGGAAAAGCAAGTATACAATTAGTTTCAATATCGTCTTTCAAGTAATAAAGTGGTACAAGTATCGAATATCGTCCACAAACATTGTAGTAAAAGCTTAATAAATATAGAATGAAAGAAATAGTTTCAGATGACGATTTTGAAAACTTTGATTTGTGTGAATTAACACTTGATGAAATTAACATATAATAAAAGAAAGTCGAGGCATAAGACTTAGAGTGAGATGTAAATACAATTTCCAGTAGATTAATGCTCTCAAAATGCCACAGGATAAACCAATGCTCTCAAAACGCTACAGCATAAACCAATGCTCTCAAAATGCTACAACATAAACCAATGATGTCAAAATGTTACAACATGCAATTAGTAACAACTATTTTCATCATTTATTTTAAGGATAATCCTCTCGGACTCACCATTGCACCGATATTATAGATTTCAACTCATGTTTCTATGTGGTATCTGGACCAGTGAAAGTAGCAAATTGTGTCCTCAAAATATACGGAAAAACAAATCTTTTTGTTAAAAATTACTCTTTCGAACGGATTCCCATATCATTCAAGTTGACGTGTTCTAGTGGCTCGTCTTCTAGTCCATTCCACTTTAACACCTCAAAGTGATCAACTTGTCGAAAATTAACCAATTTGGAAAATATAGATAACAAATCTTTTTGTCAGGAACTCTCTTAAGTCTATTTCTCATATCATCCAAATTGAGTGCAATCAATGACTCAGCTTAGAGTCCATGACACTTTAACATTTTGCAGTAATCAACCTGTCTAGAAGTGTCATTGGTTTATTAAAACTTGAAATGAAATAATGAAACTTTGTTGTTACATATAAAGATCTACTTTCCTTTGATTTACAAACTCACTATTTTCGTCTCACACCCAAACTAAGAGGTTTAGCTACTCATGACGGAAAGAAAATTGCAAGAAAAGTAAATCGCAGTAAGTAAAGAAATGAAATTAAATGGTGGAAAGTAAATGACCGTATTTAAGAGCAGAATGTAAAGACGAAAAACGTAATAAATAAAGGAAAACTAGAATGTTGTAGAAATGCTATGGAACTTGATACATCCCTTCAATAATATAAATTAAAACCGAAATTAAAAAAGACAATTAAACAACAGTTTAGAGGTAAGAAATTCAATTCTTTACAACTGAAATGGCTTGGAGATATATCCCAAAATAGTAACCCAACCCCCCTGTTTATACTAAAGCAGGAGGAGGGACAAAAGAGTAATCACAAGTAACTTGGAGCCAAAGCTTTCTAACAAATACATAATAGTCAGAAGTAGGAAGACTTAAGTGTACTACTAAGACAACTGATTAGATAATATTGACAACTAATTTCCAGCTTTGAATTTAAACCAGAATTCTTCCAAAATGTCTTGCATGAGCCACTAAGTTTGTCTGAAAACCATTCATCTCCTTAGCCACTCGGTTCCTCCTATCAGCTTGCTGCTACACAAATGTTGCAACATAAGATACGCTACATCAAGCATGTCCAAAAGTCCATATTATCCTACTTTAAAGAGTAAAAACAGGTATATCATTATCTCTAGTTCAAAAGACAAAGAAACAGAAAGTAATGAAGTAAATTGACTCAAGGTTGGGATTTAAATGTAAAATAACCTATCTGAATAAGAAGAAAAGAATGTTTTAGCACTAAATAATTAGTGCATATCAGCACCCATGAATCACGCTTAATAAAATGATTGATCCGGTGTAGAGCATCATAATGTGCATCCAATGACGGAGATCTCTTCTTACATTTCTCACCTTAACTCTCATTCTCACCAGAACCAAACTCTTATCATCTTACCCTATTTATGAGAAGGTGAAAATTTCTATTTCCACCAAGATACTTTTGAGTTCATAATTCTATTTTGTTTCCTTTTGATTTAAATCATTAGAAAAAACACGATGATTTTGAATTTTTTTACGCTATGACTTAAGATTTTATCAGTCTTTGAATGATTCAATTTCGTTGATGGTGCTTATGAAAGCTAAGTGGTATCGGAGCTGAAGTTTAAAAGACTCAGGGTTTGTTTGTTAGCATCTTAACGAGCTTAATTAAGCACACAACTTATTCGGTCAGCTATACATGATTATTTGGTGATAATGTAATGATATAGAAAGTGACTTATTCGATTGTCTTCTAGGGAGACTTTATGTAGAAAGTCAAGTTTTTCTCAAACTTACCTTCTCCCGTTTAAAAGAACATGTTATTTTCATTTACGAAAAAACGCTACCAAACAAAAATCCTTCCAATCTATACAGACAGATTATTTCACACAGACAAATTCATCCATATAAGACTTAATTGAAAACCGACCAAACAACCTCTTAGATGTTATTAAGAACCCTAAACTTAGACGACAGTAATGTGGAGTTGATATCTGATTAAGTCTACCGTATGTTTCGTATATGAACTTAATATAGATAGAGGGAAAAACACTGTGATTGGGTGAAGACGTATAAAAGGGACTAGCGGTGAAGGATCGAGAGTACAATGGCAACGAGCAAGCGTATATAGTATCCCATAGCTTTTTTGAAGTGGTTTTATCTTATTGAAAAATTGGTAGGAATGAAATATAATTTGATCACATATGCAAGGGAACAATGAACTCCGTGAACGGTTGAATGACTTGAATCCAGAGACAGATCTATGCATTATGAGCGGGCTCTCATGCACTCGTTCGACTTATTTTCGCAAGTAGGATTTTTTTAAGAATGAAAAGTGCACCTATTAAATTTGAGTTGTACTCTCGATATTAAAAAAATACAAGGAACATCAAACGAAAAGCCGACACCCCCCTCAAAATAAAAAATAAAAATAAAAAAAAAGTCTACCGAAATCAGCAAAAAAATCCCAAAAAGTCCCTCGAAATGGAACAGAAACTTGAAAATTCATCGAAACGGTGGAACTCAGCTGAAAACAAATCGGATGATTTTACAGATATTTAATCCACCTTATAGATTCACCCAGATTGGCAAAAAATCATGGATCTCACTACTGCTTAAATCTATAGAATTTAAATTATGTACATTTCATATGTAAACCTATCGATTGAAAAGAAACTGGTTAGTTGAATTGACCATTCTGATTTCTTCGAATTTCATAGTAACAATCAAACTCAATTAGGGATGGTAATGGGGCAGGGACCCCAATCCCTGTCTTCGTCCCCTGGTCCCTGATCTTTGTCCCCGTCCCCATCCCCACCGGGGAATTTGATCACATCCCCGTCCCCAACGGGGAAACGATGATTTTTTTTTCCTGTTTGTGTACAAAAAAATTAAATCAAATGTGTGAGACGCTACACATGTTTAAATCTCACATTTTTCCAATAAACCTAAAATCAAAGGGAATTTAATTTAATACAAAAAATATACATCATCATATAATAATTAATAAATCGAAAAAAAAATTAATCTAAAAAAATTAACGTCACATATTCCAAAACATATTGAGTAATATCCAAATTATATTGAAATATAAATTATCATTTACCGATTTAATATAAATAAATAATAATATATATATATATATATATATATATATATGGGTGCGATGTGGTGCGGGGCGAGGCAGAGAGTGTGATACCCGTCCCCGTCCCCATCCCCGGTTTGAGCCAAACGGGCATCCCCGTCCCCGAGAGTCCGAGACTTGGTTTAACAGGGAATCCCCGTCACCGACCGGGGCGGATGGATTGGGTTCCCCGACGGGTCGGGGTCAATTCTCATGCCTAAACTCAATTGAAGAGCCAAATTGACTTATTTAAGGGGAACCCTATAAAAGCATTTCCAATCCAACACTAAAACACAAAATAGTAATATTTTTATCTTCAACTTAACACTAAAACACTAAAAAAAAAACTCCAAACTTACCTTTTATATTTTGAGGTCCAAAAATACCACCTCTGCAAATAAATATTAATATAATATTAAATTCATACATATATATATATATATATATATATATATATAATATAGGTGAGTTATTATACAATCTTTTATATTTATACAACTAATACAACTCAATCTCAACCGTCCATTTAATTTGATGAATATGTTATTTCATAAAAAATTTAATTGTTTCATAATATAAAATATTGATCATGATTAATGAATTCTAGTAATCTTCCATAAATATTCAAATCATAATAAATGAATGCTCATCATTTTCATAAATATCTTAATTGATTGCATTGTATTGATTGTACAAATGGATATGGTTGCATTTGAAATATACCATATATATAAAATTAATATTAATTTTATATTATTATAATAGTATTAAAGACGTTTAATAAACTACTAGAAGGGTACTCGCGTAATGCAACGAGATACATTTCGATTTTAATGTTTTATTTTATTTTTTTGTCTCTGTCGATATTACAATACGATTTTATGTGTTTTTAAGAAAGCAATAATGATTTTATTTTTGAATAAAATATAAATTTGAAGAATTCATAAAAAATTTAAAAAAAAATATCAATGTTAGTACCAAATCAATTATTTAAAAGTT